TCAAGGCACGAGACAGAAACAGAAGGGTCGGTAACAAGAGAGGCAAGGACCCGAGAGACAAGGGGACGAGCGGCACGGAGGTAGTCAGAGAACGGAGGAGGTGCAACAGCAAGGGACGAGGGAGGAGGGGAGGACGAGACGAGCGGGAACGGAGCAACATAGGGTGGGTGCGCAGGACAGGAGAGACGGGACGAGCACGGGAGGGACAGCGAGACCAAACGTGGGACGGAGGTGTAGGGTCAGGAGACAGCGGAGGGGACACAGGAGGGGAACGAGGAGGAAGACGGGCCAGAGACGAGTCTGGCGGCGGGAACACAGGACCGTAGACAGGAAGGTCAGCAGGCGGTGGGGGAGACACCGGTGAGCGGTCCGGGGAGGGAAGGCCGAGCAGGCGGAGAGCGGAGACCGGCGGCGACGGCTGCTGCGGCGGCGGTGACGGCTGGGCCGGAACCCTCGGACCGGCAGAGGCAGGACGACCGTCGGCGGAACCCTTAACAGCAACACCCCCAGAACCAACACCCCCAAAGCGAGAACCCCCTCCAACACCAGCGGCACCCCCAGGGGCCGCAGGACGAACACCCTCCTCCACACCAGCACCCCCAGGGGCCAAGAGCAGCGGCAGCGGCAGCGGCGGCGACGGCTGCGGCGGCTGCGGCGGAGGCGGCGATTGCGACAGTGGAGGCAAAGACACCAGGGAAGGGGGACACGGCAAGGACGGGCCGGGGGTACCACCAGAGTCAGCGGACTCCTCAACGGGGACAACCGACGGGAGGGGAGTGACGTGAGAGACACCACACGGGGCAGGGCGAGGCGGGAGAGGAGCAGGGGCTACCGGGGGAGAGGGAGCAAGGAACAGGGGCGGGGCAACCGGGAGACCTCGGTGAGGGAAGCGGCGGTAGGAGACAGACTCGTCAAAGGTGACGTTACGAGAGTGGAGGAAGCGGTGAGACGGCGGGTGGTAGAAAAGCCAGTCAGACGAGTCCAGGGGGAAACCGAGGAAGACACAGGGGACAGTGCGGGCAGTGAGCTTGTCCGTGCCAGAGGCACGAACATGAGCAAGGCAGCCCCAGACGTGGAACACAGATGCGTCACCGGGGGTCCCGGTCCAAAGGAGGGTCGGCGAAACCTGCGGCCGTTGGGAGCGTGGCCACAAGTTAAGCTGGTGAGCAGCGTAGCAAACAGCGAACGGCCACAGAAAATGGGGGGCATCGGCATGAATCATGGAGGTACGGGCGACCTCCATGACCAAGCCGATGCGGCGCTCAGCAACCCCATTCTGCTGTGGTGAGTCCGGCAAGGTGTACGACTAGGTGATGCCCTCTGCACGACAGAACTGTCCAAGCCGACCAGAGGAGAACTTGCAGCCACGGTCAAAGTGGAGACACAACACGGGGAGACCGCGGTGAAGACGCGCAGCCACAACCCACGGGAGAAGAACGTCGGGCACGTCGGCCTTCCGCTCCAGGGGAAACACCGTGGTGTAGCGCGTGTAGTCGTCGACGAGCACAAAAAAGTAGCGCTCACCGCGCGGTCTGGGGACGGGGGCAGGGCCCCAAACGTCCAGGTGCAGGGTCTGAAGGGGAGCAGTAGTAGGGCGCAGCGAGGAGGAGTGAGGAGCACGGCGGAGCCGGCCCTCGACGCAAGGCGTGCACGGTGGCGCAGTCGAGGGAGGAAGGGCGGGGAGCGACGCGGGGAGACCTAAGACAAGGCCGTGCTGGGACATGTGACGCAGGCGGGCGAGAGCAGGGTGACCTAGGCGGTGGTGCCAGAGAAGGGACGGGTGAGTGAGGGACCGACACGAGCAAGCTGCAGCGACCTGGGAGGACGCACCAACCGGGGGGGAAGCGGTGTCGAGGGTAAACAGACCGGACACCGGGTCCTGGGAGAACGTCGCAAGGGAGGAACCTGAGACAGCCTCAGAACAGACAGCGAACCGCTCGTGCCCGGGGAACGTGGTGGTGACGCCGAGGTCCTGGAGACAGCCGACACCAATCAGGTTCCTGGAGAACGAGGGAACGTGGAGGCCTGTAAGGGAGCCCGAGGGAACTGTTGGACAGGGAAGGGACGTAGAACTGCGAGCGACGACAGGACCCGCAGAGGGGTCAGCGAGAGAGACAACAGCAGGCGTAGCAAGCGGCGTGAGCGCGGAACGGTCGCGGAAGAAGCAGGCAGAAGCACCGGAGTCGAGAGTGAAGGACATCGAAGCAGTGGCGGAGGCCGGGAACGGAGCCGGTGCAGAGACTAGGCTAGGCAAACTAGGCAGTCCTACGCCTGACGCAGTAGGGGAGGCTAAGCTACACAACGGTGCAACACCTAAACTAGAGTACACAGGGTAATAAGATCCAGCAACACTAGAAGCGTCAAAATACAAGGCATGCAAAGCAGCACCTATCTGATCCATGTCTAACTCAAAGATCGGCACGCCCTGGCAGAGCAGGCTGTGCCAGTCGGGGAGGTCCGGGGCCGGGCCAAAGCGACGACGAAAGAGATCGTCAAGGCGGCGGAAACAGCAGGCAGTCGGGTGCGGGCGGCGGCACAGAGTGCCGCGAAGAGGCCCGGTCTGAAGCTGGTACTGGCAAGTGACAGCACCGGAGCCGCCGGTAGACACCGAGCTGCGCGGGCCGCCACCACGGCCACTACCTCCGGAGGTGCCGGGCCAACCAGGCGGGAGACGGGCCCACGGCTGTGGCGACTGCTGCTGGGACGACGGCTGCGGCTGGGGCTACTCCTGCCGCGGCTGGGGCTGCTGCTCGTGCCCACCGGTGGTAGTCCCCTCAGGCGGACTACCGTCACGACGACCACCACCACCACCACCACCGGCGCCACCACCCCTACCTCCCTGGCGACCATGGCCACCGCGGCGCGAGCGCTGCTGCGGGTGGACCGCAGCAGCCGTCTCGGTGAGAGGGGTCGCCGAGGCAACCGCAGCCGAAACGTCAGTGAACGTGCACTGGGAGGGGGCACAGCCGTGAAAGATAGAGACTGCCGGCGCACCGCTTGACTGAGCAATAGTGCGCTGGCGAGTCTCGATCTCGGTGAGGGTGTCGACAAAGGCGGTGAGGGTGAGGTCACCCGGGTGCTGGCTAAGGAAGTGATTGCGAGCACTAGCGAGGCGGTCGGGCAGGCGCATGGCGATAAGATAGAGCGTCATGCAGAAAGGGGGGGGGAGCGCAGTGAGCTGGGTAGCAGTGCTGGCAGTGCGATAGCGGGTCTCTAGGGCACGCAGGTGAGTGGCAAAGTCTGCGACTGTAGGGAAGGCTGCAAGGTCTGGGAACAGCATCGGGAAGAGCAAGCGGCCAGCAGAAGCAGACGCGGGTGTGGAATAGCGAGCAATAACGGCGTCTAAGTAAGCTTTGGCCGTCTCAACAGCAGCAAAACACGAGCACTCAGACATAGGGAGGGCGTGGCTAATAGCAACCTGAGCGACTGCATCGCGGGAGTCCCAGACCGCACAGGCAAGCGCAGCAGTAGAGAAGGTCTCACGGTCATCAGAGGAGGGGTCAGCAGGGAGGGGAGCAGGTGAGGGGGGGCGGGGGAGCAAGCCATCGACATGGACAACCAAAGAGTGGCCATCCTGGCGCTGACCTGTAAGGTGGCGGCGGAGATCGGAGAGCCAGGCGGCGAAGTCAACCGCATGGCCCTCAGTGTTCAGTCAGAGTACGAAGTCAGTCATCGTGCAGGGTCAGCGGCACAGCTCCACAGCTCCGCAGGAACACAGCGACGCAGGGACACGGCGGCAGCACGCTCCAGCACGGCGACCGCGAGGCGCCCCAGCACTGGCGAGCAGAGTAGACGGAGCCCAAGGTGGCACGGCAGGCCGAGCAGGCACGAAGAGGGGCCGGGCGGGCAGTGGGAGAGGCCAGGCAGATGCGGCGGGGCCAGGCAGGCGCGGCGGGGCCAGGCAGGCGCGGCGGGGCCATGCAGGCGCGGCGGGGCGAGGGAGGCGCGGCGGGGCTAGGCAGGCGCGGCGGGGCCAGGCAGGCGCAGCGGGGCCAGGCAGGCGTGACAGGGCCAGGCAGGCGCGGAGGGGCCAGGCAGGCGCGGCGGGGCCAGGCAGGCGCGGTGGGGCCAGGCAGGCGCGGCGGGGCCAAGCAGGCGTGGCAGGGCCAGGCAAGCGCGGCGAGGCCAGGCAGGCGCGGCGGGGCCAGGCAGGCGCAGCGGGGCCAGGCAGGCGCGGCGGGGCCAGGCAGGCGCGGCAGGGCCAGGCAGGCGCGGAAGGGCCAGGCAGGCGCGCCGGGGCCAGGCAGGCGCGACGGGGCCAGGCAGGGCGCGATGGGGCCTAGCCGGCGCGACGGGGCCAGGCAGGACGCGACGGGGCCGTAGCGGGCGCGACGGGGCCTAGGAGGCACGACGGGGCCCAGGAGGGGCGCGACGGGGCTAGGAGGCGCGACGGGGCCCAGGAGGGGCGCGACGGGTCTAGGAGGCACGACGGGGCCCAGGAGGGGCGCGACAGGGCTAGGAGGCGCGTCGGGGCCCACGAGGGGCGCGACGGGGCTAGGAGGCGCGACGGGGCCCAGGAGGGGCGCGACGGGGCTAGGAGGCGCGACGGGGCCCAGGAGGGGCGCGACGGGGCTAGGAGGCGAGACGGGGCCCAGGAGGGGCGCGACGGGGCTAGGAGGCGCGACGGGGCCCAGGAGGGGCGTGACGGGGCTAGGAGGCGCGACGGGGCTAGGAGGCGCGACGGGGCTAGGGGGGCGCGGCGGGGCCTAGCTAGGGTACGGGCGGAAGCGGTAGGTGGGGGATTCTAACCTACGCGTGATACCCTGTTAAAGGAAGAACTGAATGATTAACTGGAAGGAGAAACCTAGAACAAATACTAGTTGGTTGTACTCACTAGAAGCATACCTCAGTCTAGCCTATAACTTCTACATAACTAATGACCTGATGCATGATAACCAAGAGCAGGATTGCCGGCAAATCCTTCTCTGCTGGCCTCCCTCCCTTTGCCTTTTTCTCTCTCCCTTATCCTCTGCTTCCCTGGACACAGCTCCTGCATTCCTCACCCATCCTTTGCATATGTCTCTGCCCGTGGCCTACGGTGTCTCAGGTTGGGTGCCCAGACTGATTTGGCTCACTCAGAATCTAGCAACTGGCTACTGCTATCGAACACCTCCCCTTGGTATAAGTGGAGTTTATTCGAATATGCAAGAAACAAACATACGAGCAGAGTTATCCTAACAGGTGGTACCCTATATTCCTACCTGCAGGACTCTGTGAGACGAGACTGGTCCCCGCCAAGTCAATCGCCTCAAGCAGAACAAAATAGAATACACCATGCCATGCATGCATGCCCAGGCTGTACAAGCTCCGCCAAGCGCTGCCTTCCGTCCCTCTGTGCTGACCCCACCTTCTCCTCTCACCCAATTGAAAGGCGCTGTCCCCATCAACCGCCCGTCTGGTGACGCACCTCTAACCCCCCCCTTGAACTTTACGCTGCCCCTCTGCCGTGGGCTTCCGCCTGCCCATACCTAGCTTCCCTCCCTTACACCTGGCTCCGCTATAAGTTTCTCCCCTCCTGTTACACTCGACTCCCTGTTACACTCCTTCTGGCCATCCTTTCTGCCGTACGTATGCGTGTAAACTCATAAGCGTGACTGCTGTCGGCAAATCCTTCTCTGATCGCCTCCCTCCCTCTGCCTTTTTCTCTCTCCCTTCTCCTCTGCTTCCCTTGACACAGCTCCTGCACTCCTCACCCGTCCTTTGCTTATGTCTCTGCACGTGGCCTACGGTGTCTCAGGTTGGGTGCCCACTTGCCCCCTCCCAGAGGCAGCTGGCCCCTGCCTAGCCTGCTGGGACTCTGCTTCCGTCGCTACGGCCCCTTGCCCGCGCTACGTTCATCACGTGGTCGTGCTTTAACCCACCGTCTGCACTTTCCAACACCAGCACCCAAGACGGCTTCACCTCCTTCACCCTCCACCTCTCTGTTGTCAGCCTCACATCCAGCTGGTCCTGCTTCGCCTTGCGTAAGTACACCTCATGACCCACTGCCATGGTCGGTCCTCCCAGGAGCCCCCGCTGTCGCTGCCACTGCTCGTACCGTTTTGCGTCCCTGAGCTGCGCCGTGTGCAGATTTTCCAGCGCCGCCGGCAGCAGCTCCTTCAAATACTTCGCCTTGGCCGCCACCAGTGCCGCCCACTTCTCCGGATCCTCTGAGATTATGACCTCTCCCAACAACTTCGGTGCCTCCATTGGCAGGATCGGCTCTCTGCCGCACAGCAGATAATACGGTGATAGATCGTGCAGTGCTGCTTGCTTGCTGAAGTGATACCCTGAAGTGCTGCATGCAACCATGAATCGATATTCTCCTTACATAGCAGGTGAATTTTCCATGTTAACACCGGAAGTAGAATGGACAGAGAGCCATGCCAACACAAGACACCAGCACCAGACCCTAAACCCTAAATCATGGACCATACAGGGTCATGGAGCTGTCTCCAATGGCTAAGATACACAGACATCCATAACTCAACGCCTGTTGCCATTCTTGTCATGGGACCTGCAACACACAGCACGATCCATCAGATCAGACACATACAGTGTTGGGGGGGGGGGGAGCAGGGGGAGGGAGGGGGAGAGGGGGCGAAGGTGTAAGCTGCTTCATCAGAAAAAAAAGCTGCACGTGTGCAGGGGCAACAACAGCTTTAGAGACAGTAGGAGTAGCGGCAGCAACAACAGCTGTCGCAGCACGAGCAACAACAGCTGCCGTGGCAGCAGGACCAGCAGCAACGGCAGGCCAGCTGTTATCCAGTCATGCATAACTAGGCTTGAGCATTAACCCGACCCGACCCGACTTTGCCTAACCCGAGGTCGGGTTCGGGTCGGGTCGGGTCAGGTCGGGTCGATCTTAGGGTTTTGCCGACCCGACCCGACCATAGCTGGTCGGGTCATCGCCTACCCGCTGTCGGGTCGGGTTGATGCGACCCGACCCGACCCAACTTGACCCGACCTAACTAGAAGCTATTTTTTTCCCAGGGGGGAACAGCTGGATTTTGTAATTTCAAGATCCAGTGAGTCCTCCTCGTGTCTCCTAGCCCACCCACCTCATCCCCCCGAAACCTCGACATGTGGTTTTGGGTGTTGGCGAAGTATTGGTTAGGTTGGAGGATGTTGACGAAAACCAGTGACGGAATGAATGGGTGTTGGCGACTTTTTGGTTGGCTTGGGGGTGTGGCGAAAGATTGGTTGGCTTGGGGTTGTTGGCGAGCTTTTGGTTTGGTTGCGGGTGTTGGCGAAAATTCGGTGGGTTGGGCGTGTTGGCGAAAATTGGTTGGTTTGGGGGTGTTGACGAAATTGGTTGGCTTGGAAGTGTTGGCGAAAAGTTGGTTTGGTTGGAAGTGTTGGCGAAAAGTTGGTTTGGTTGGGCGTTTGGCGAAAATTGGTTGGGTTGGGCGTGTTGGCGAAAATTGGTTGGGTTGGGGGTGTTGGCGAAAGTTGGTTGGGTTGGTGGTGGTGTCGGCGAGCTTGTTGGTTGAGTCGATCCAATAGAAATCGATCTGGGTCTGTTTAGACCCTAAGATATACCAATAAGCATGGTGGGGAGTAGATTAGTGTTAGGAATGAGCTGGATGCAGGGTGAAAATGGGAGGTAGCCTAAGTAGGATCTGGAAAATGGCCCATCTGGTCGAAAAATCGACCAAACCGTCAGACTTTCCAGATCTGCGCAACTCAGGTCGCGCAGATTGCGTCGGGTCGAGGCGCGGCCCGACTTCGGGTCGGGTTGGGTTGGGTCTCGGGTTCGGGTTGACCCGACCCGACGGGAAAAAATCAAACCCGACGGGTCGGGTTCTTCCGACGGGAAACCTGACCCGACCCGTCAAAAAGCGGGGTCGGGTCGGGTCAGGTTACCCGACCCGTTGCTCAAGCCTATGCATAACCCCCAGATTCCTCCTCCCACACGCTCCTCTTCGCCGTGCACACAGATGCAAGGGGGAAAACTCCTTCACATCACATGTGCCATGCTGTAGGCCTTGCACCCCCCATGGCAGCAGCGGCAGCGGCAGCAGTGATGGCAGCAGCATGTGCTCTCGCTGCTGCCATGGCCGTATGTGCCCCTCGCCCAATGCCCATGCCAGCACCAGCAGCACCACCACCACTAGCAGCAGCAGCAGCAGCACCACCACCACCACCACCACCACTAGCAGCAGCAGCAGCAGCACAAGATAGGAAAAGGAAGAGACTTACATGTGTCCAGCTGTGGGGCCTGCACCCCCCATGGCAGCAGCAGCAGCAGCCGCAGTGATGGCAGCAGCATGTGCTCTCGCTGCTGCCATGGCCATATGTGCCCCTCGCCCAATGCCCATGCCAGCACCAGTAGCACCACCAGCGGCAGCACCACCACTACCAGCGCCACTCCCACTAGCACCAGCAGCACCACTGCCAGCAACAGCAGCAGCACCTGCTGCTGTCGCTGCCATGGCTGCTGAGGCTGCTGCTGCTCCCCCTGCTGCTGCTGATGGTGGGGCATCAGCAACAACCTGGTGGTTGGGGGTAGAACACAAAGGGAGAGGGGTGGAGTACGGTACGAGTGGGTGGCTGCTGCTGCTCCTGCTGCTGATGCTGATGCTGCTCCTCCCCGTGCTGCTGGAGGGGCGTCAGTGACAACCTAACGGTTGTGGGCATGGGCCGGTGGGAAGTGGGTGGGTGGGATGCGGTGAGAGTGGGTGGTAAGGTAAGGTGAGAGTTGGAGGAACTGGGCTGGCTTCAGGCAGAAAAGCCACACCACTAGAATCTGAACAATGGAGAAATGGGAATGAACAAACTGGCTGTAAGACGTCTTTAGAACGTGACCCAAAGCCTGGTACAGGACGCAAGATGGCTTTAAATCGACTAACAGGGCATCTCATTTCAGAACGTGAACACGAAGTCAGGTATGGGGCACAAGATATGGATATTAAGGAAAATTCGAGTAGGTGGTGGAGCCAGATATTTCTACAAATGGAAGCCCAGAATCCGAGAGCAAGACAAGGAAGGAAGGATGGGAAGAAACTCGGATTCCAAATAATCCACCAGATGCCACTCACGTCTGCTCCCCCCCTTCTCCCTTTTGTCCTCCCATTTGCTCTCACCTCTCCCTTCTACTCGTCTTTCCCCACTCACTCACCCTCACACTTCTCCCATCTCTTCATCTCCTCTCATTAACTTCTCCTCCCGCTACTATTATTTCCTCACCTCCAGTCACTGAATTCCTTCCTACCTTGTCCCACTTGCTCCGCTTCCCCCCTCTAGTCAACCCCTCGCCACCACCACCACCACCACCACCACTGCCACCACCACCACCACCACCACCACCACCACCACTGCCACCACCACCACCACCACTGTTACACGTCACAGCACCAGGAGAAGAACCCATAAAGCCTGCCTAATCCCATGTGCTCCTCACCTCCTACCACTGGGTTCCTACCTTGTCCCACTTGCTCCGCTTCCCCCCTCTCGTCAACCCCTCACCGCCGGCCCCACCGCCACCACCACCGCCGCCACCCCTCACAGCACCAGGAGCAGACCCCATAATGCCTGCCCCCACGGCCGCCGCAGCCCCTGCTGTCACTGCCCCTGTTGCTGCTGGTGCTCCTGCTACTGCCGCTCCTGCTACGGCTGCTCCTACCGCCACCGCTCCTGCTGCCATGGCCTGCACAGGCGCCATCCCTCCTCCTGCTGCTGCAGACACCGCGTCTGCCGTGGGTTGGGCTCCTGATGTGGCAAAACAGGGGAAAACAGGAGAAATGTTTTTTGAGGCGCCTCAAAAACCGGGGAAAGGATTTTGAGGTGCCTTAAAAATACTAGTTTTTACGCGCCTCAAAACTAGGCTCCTGGTGGCAAATTGGGAAAACACGGGAGACGAGGGAAGATTTTGAGGCGCCTCAAAACTCCATCTGCTGCAGGTATAGCGTCTGCTGTAGGTTAGGCTCCTGGTTTGCTAACCGTGGAAATAGGGGAGAGATGGAGCAGCAAGGAAGCAGGCAGGAAGGAGGCAGAGTTAATTGTTGCACAGGCGCCATTCTCCCCTCTCCTTCCCCCTCCTGGCAGGGCTTTTAAGGCGCCTAAAAAATCAGGGCTGCTCCTGCTGCTGCAGACACAGCGTCTGCCGTGGGTTGGGCTGCTAGTTTGGCAGACGGGGAAAAATAGGGGAAAGACGAGTCTGCAAGGAGGCAGAACTGGCAAATAATGCAGTGTTCTTGAGGGAAACTGGTGCAATGCGGTGCAATGTGGTGCAACAAGGTGCAATGTGACACCGTACTAAAACGACTTTCTTCAGGAGGGAGCAACAATAGGATGCACTTCAAAAAACCAGTTCAGGGACTACGCCTTGGCAAAAAAGCACCCCAGGATAGCAGCAATGAGCTGTACGACAGTGCCCCCCCCCCCCCCCCCCCCCCCCCGCTGTACTCAGAATAGTGCATAGTGTTGCACGCACGATACTACCAGGCAGACCGTTAGGGGGAGCATAATGCATGGCAGTTCCCCCTCGTTGTAACGACGTGGAACGTGGTATAGAATGGTACAGAGAGATACTTTTAGGCGGGGCGGCAATGAGCTGCACGACAGTGCCCCCTCGCTGGAACTCGATCTGGCCGCCCTTCTGCCTCCTCTCCTCTTCTGCGCTCCATCTCCCTCCGCTGCTCCGCAACTGGTGGTGCCCGGCCCATGGACCATACCATGTGCCACATGCCACATGCCACATGCCACATGCCACATGCCACATGCCACATGCCTGTCTCTAGAAGTACCTTTAGGCGGAGCAGCAGTCGCCTGCACAACCATACCCCCTCGGTGTAACGTGGTGGAATGCGGTACTGAGCAGTACAGAGTGGTGCACCGTGCAACAGGGAATACCTTTAGGCGGAGCAGCGATGAGCTGCACGACGGTGCCGCCTCGCTGGAACTCGATCTGGCCGCCCTTCTGCCTCCTCTCCTGCTCCTTCCGCTCCATCTCCCTCCGCTGCTCCGCCACTGATGGTGGTGCACGCCCCATGGGACATACCCACATGCCCCCATGCGGCCATGCCCCATGCCCATGCCACCATGACCGCATGCCACATAGCACATGCCACATAGAGCATGCCCACATGTCACAAGCCCATCATGGCCCATGCCATGCCCCATACCATGTCAAACTCAGAGGAAGAAAAGACGAGAAGAGGAGCCCCTAGCATCCTAGAGAACACCACTTGGTGGTGGTTTTTGAGTCGACTCAAAACTCAGAGGAAGAAAAGACGCCGGGCCCTAAAGAGGAACCCCTTGCATCCTACCAAGCTTAAAAAAGGATTATGTATATGTCGACAGCAAAAACATAAGGTAAACCTTGCAGCTTTCAACTGGCAATAAAGCTAAGGCCACCCAGACAAGCTTATTCAAGTCATCCATGTGGGAACGGACTTACACAGACCAAGAGCATCATAGTAGTCAGATCGCTCGAAGCCGTGTGGACTACAGAAGCTCTTACAAAAGCCAGAAACAACTGGGTTACCCAGAAAGACATACCAAGAGCATCATAGTAGTCCGATCGCTCAAAGCCGTGGGGATTAAAGACGTCCTTAGGAAAGCAGGAGCCATGCTCGTCTATGCCCTCATGCTTCACCACCTGCAGAGGGGAAATCGATAGACGGTGGAGGAACTTAGGCTAAAACCACCAACACGTGCCAACAGGGAATCAATGAAGTCAAGAGGAGATCGAGACACCTCTGGAGCCAGTCTCATCTATGCCGTCGTGCTTCACCACCTGCAGAGCGGAAAATCAGTGGACACTTTGGGGGGTGAAGCTTGATGGTGCCTGCCTGCCAGCACCCTGTCTCGAGGTGGGGGCACCAATACTTCGGGATGAGATGCCACCGTAGCCAAAAGAGAGGAACGCCTTTTGAGAATTAAAAAAAAACTCTCACAAGAGCTGGGCCTTGAGGAGGAAGGGAGACACCAGTGCTTTGAGATAGAGATGTCGGAGGAGCCACGAGAGAGGAAAGCCACAATGAAAGCCCTCATCTCCCCCTCTCTCCATACCTGCTGCATGAAGTCCGGGTTGCGGTAGCCCTTGAAGTTGCACCGTGCGTCGTTGATGCTCCTGCCGGCTCGCTTTGAGGTCTCTCAGCGGAATACAAAGCCCTCATTTCCCCCAACTCTCCATACCTGCTGCATAAAGTCTGGGTTGCGGTAGCCCTTGGAGTTGCGCAGAGCAACACATTGATGCTCCTGCCAACTCGCAATACCAAGTCCCCCCCCCCCTTCCCCGCCAACACCCACACCCACCTGCTGCATGAAGTCTGGGTTGCGATAGCCCTTGGAGTTGCGCAGCGCGTCATTGATGCTCCTGCCGGCTCGTTTCAGCTCCAGGTATCGGATGAACTTGGCCTGCCACCAATCAGGAGATGCCACGTGGCGCAAGGAGAATTGAGTAACATGGCACATTGGGTTTGACGTGGTATGGTGAGGGTGTGGCATGGTGTGGTGTGGATGTGGTGTGATGTGGTGCGGTGTGGTGTGGTGTGGTGTGGTGTGGTGTGGTGACAATGTTCCCATGTTCTCACCTGTAGCTGTTCATCGCACTTCTCTCGTGGCGCTGGGGGCAGAAACCCTCTCAATGCTTCCTCCACCTCCTCCTCACCCTCCCCCTCCCCTCCTTGCCCCTCCACACCCCCCTCCCCACCCCTCTCCCCACCCTCTCCTCCTCTTCTCTCTCCTCCAGCCTCCCCTTCGCCCCCCAGATCTCCCTGTACAGTCCCATTAACGGGGGGCGTCAGCTGTCCACGTGGCGCAACGCCATTGGCTGCTAGAACCGCCACGTCACCCTCCAACGTGCCAGGAGGGGGGGGAGTAACCCGGTCAACCGGGCCAGTTCCCAAGCCGGGAGTGGGGGTGCTTCGTCCAGCGGGGGGGGAAAGGATATGCACCGACCCTGGGGTCGCGCGGCTGGGGGCTGTGGGGAGGGGCAGAAGGGTAAGTGGGGGCGGGGGGGGGTGGGTGGGGGTGGGGGGGGGGTGGGGGGAGTGCGGGGGGGGGGGGGGGGGGGGGGGGGCGGCGTGGGAGGTGGAGGGGGGGAGGGATAGAGGGATGGAGAGAGAAGGGAGTGGGAAAGGGGTGGGAACAGAGGGGGGAAGGAAGGGAAGGGGCGGAAGAGGGGCGGAAGGACGAATAGAAGGGCGCAGAAAGGAGGGCTGAAGCTGGGATGAATTCTAATATCTGAAGGTGGCGATGGAGTATTGAAGGCCCTACAACAGGAAAAAAGAAACTATAACGAAAAGCAACAACTGAAGCTGGGGAGGATGGCATGTATAGCAAAGGAATGAAGAATGCGGAGTGTACAGAGAGCAGTCCTTATTCAGCTCTCTGTACACTGCATGTCGACTCAAAATACACCTGGGGAGGATGGCATGTATAGCAAAGGAATGAAGACTGCGGAGTGGCAGAGCGCTGAGCAACTTGTTGCAGCAAGGTGACTTTTGAGTCGACTCGAAAGCTGAGGAGGGTGGCATGAAAAACAAGGGAATAAGGACAGCTGAGTGGCAGAGAGCTGAACAACTACTTGCAGCGCCTGAGGTGCTCACTGCTCAGCCTGGGAATACAGTCTGAGGTGGCGCGGTGAGCTACCCACCTTCTCGCAGCGCTCCCGCGCCTCCCTGCCGCTCATCCCTCTCCCCCTCCGCCTCCTGCGCGCACCTAAGCGGGGAGCGGAGCGGATGGCGGAAAGGAGTGAAGCGGGGGGGCGGAACGGCGAGGCGGGCAAGCAGGGCAGGAGAGGAGGATGGGGGGAGAGGGGGAGAGGAGCGGGGGCATGGGCGGAGAAGAGCGAGCGGAAGTGAGGTGATGCGATCACGAAACCCTAAAGCAGCGACAAGTGCTCTGGAGTGAGATGGAGATGGAGATGGTCGGAATACAAATTGCGGATCACCAGGCTAGAATCATTGGAAAACACAGGCGACTTGTGACCTACTCACAGCTCCCGACAAACACGAAAACGTTAGGGTTTCGTGTTTGCCGGTAAGTCACGGATACGATCCCTCACCGAACACGAAACCCTAACCGGCAAGTCCTATCCGCGACTTACCTCATCGCCCCCCGCATCGTGCCCTCAACCAGATATTCTCAACGCATCGCGCCTCCCCGGGCGACCTTGAGTCGACTCGAAAGTAACCGACGAAACGCGAGCCGCGACTTACCTCATCGCCCCCCTCATCGTGGCGAGTCTAGCTCATTATTCTTTAGGCGCCTCAAAAACAAACCGCTACCCGCGACTTACCTCATCGTCCCCCGCATCGTGACCGTAGCCAAAAATTCCCAACGCGCCTCCCCTGTCCCCCCCAGATCGATCCGCCGGCTCCCCCGACCGACTCAACCCGCCACGCGCGGACGACAGCTCCGCTTCCCCCAATCCTCCCCCCGCTTCATATCCCCCCCGATCGCCTCCTCCTCCGCTTCCGCCCCGCACTTCCGCCGATTCTCCGCGTTCTTGCCCCCGCGCCGACTCTCCCCCTTGTTGCGCGTTTGAATCTCCTTCCTCTCGTGCCTTATTTTCCTCTTCCTCCTCTTCCTCCTCTTCTTCCTCCTCCATCTCATCGTCGTCATCCTCTGCGTACATCGAAAGCAGCGCGATGCCCTCCGTCTTATGCTTCTTCGGCTTCATCTGATAAGATTTTAAGACACTATTTGACGATTAAGTAGCGACGCGAGGACCAAGTAGACGACGCACGAAACGATGGCGGAAGCGAAAACTAAGGTAATCCAGGAGTGGGTAGCGAGACTACCAGTGTGTAGAGTCAAGGATGTAGAGGAGCGAACAGAATGCCAAGGTATGTAAGGGCGTGTGAGTTAGGGCGTGTCCCGCGCCTAAGTGTTAGTCTCAATACCCTACCCAAACGTTTTTAATCGTTATTTGAACCTTCTGAGTCGGAGAGCATCTCGTCCAACCGTAATCAAACGAACGCGCGGGACACGCCCTTATTGCGAAAATGCTGAAGTCCGTACCAGAATAAGTACAGCGAGTACTTATTCGCTAACTTCGGGAGCACAACGCGGTACATACTCGCGGTAAGAACACAGTCAAGCGACGGCGAGCCACCGTCACATTGTCGCCAAGGAGATGCGACGTCAGCGAGAAATTGCGGCTCGTAAAGCGAATTCTGGAAACCCAATGCACCACAAACGCACCTAGACGAAATCGGGGATGACGCCACATGGTTTTGGTCGCGATAAGCGGCTCGTTTGAATTGACCACCTCCGATTCGGCGCGACAACTTGAATTTCGCAAGTTACTGCCTTAGCGTGTCGCACGTTGTCGATGTGACAATGTGTGCGTCAAAAGGACGCCAAGTTCGGACTCCGGTCTGGCAGGGTCGTATGTTCCAGAACGAACCAAGTGATTTGAACGGGAACGTACCATTTTGTGAGCCGTAATACCAGAGGGTTTGGCGAAACTGTTCATCAAGTTCGCGAAACCGGTAACCTTCCAAATTTACTACCCTCCTCCCGGCAGGTTCCATAACTCACGCGCCCTGAGGGCGTCTATCATGTGCAAGGCCGTCGACGTCACCAGCGTGGTACAGTACGTTTTCTCACGTTCGAGAAGCTTCCTGTGCGCTCGGAGGCGGTGACCCGACGTCACAAGCGTGAAGGACTGTTCAGCTACTTGATACCTCCTAAAGAGCGTAGACGGCTGCTTTACTGTAGCGAAATTTGCTCTCGGTATATATATTAAAATGTTATTGATAACAATTTCTCTACACTCCCCCCATATGATGTGTGCTTTTTACAAAGGAGCTTGCACCTTGAAACACATTAGCATTGCTTAGCATACTATTATTCACCGTCCCTGTATCTAACTCGTCATCAGCAGCAGCATGCGTCAATCGGACAAGCTTGGAATATTTTTCGCATTCACGCATGCTACTTGAAAGTGTTGTGATATAATTCATACTTAGCATTTCTGTAAGTCGATAGTGTCGAATCCTACTGTAGAAGATAAGTCCGCAGGATGACGTCAGCAAATAGCGCTCGTCATGAGGACAGTCGTTTCAGTCACGCGAACAGTCGCACCTCTTCATTGTCATTTAGGGCGCATAGCGCGATAGTGACGAACAAGTACATTAGCGAACAAGTACTTTCTTATAGCCATAAATCCTTGTTATGCCTTTTCATTATTAACTTTGATCACCCCACAAGTTCATGAGCTCAGGTTGTTCAACCTTGACTTTCACAAGAGTCATACTCAGATTCACTTTTACAAGACGTCCGCTGTCTTACTAGTCTACCATTCCAGCAAAGATCCTAGGCTAACACTTGAGGTTTTCCAAGTGTTTGTGTTTGCAGACTCTACACATAGTTTCCTGCAACACCTATCAAATTATTGCATGGTATGAGAGCTGTCTAGAATTAAGACTACTGCCAAAATGACTGGAACAACACCAGCGCAATCTACCGGATCTACTTCCGGAACTACTGGAGTACATGTCTCCACGACCGCCACTGGTCTCTCAGCCTCTAGACCATTTCCACCGGCTTATGCGCACATCGGTATGCAGCAGCAGCAGAATCCGCCTTCACTCAGTACTCCAGGTATTTCATCGACTCCACCTGCAGCGCAACAACAACAAACACAGACAACAGCACAACAACAAGCATCAGTACAACAACAGGCAACAGCACAACCACAGTTTTCAAGTCAGTCAATATCATCAGCGTTTAGTGGAATGAGTCTTGATGGCTCAAGTTATATGCGTGGAGCTTCAGCTCCAAGTTTTGGCTCATTTGCCTTCTCACCTTTTGCGCAGCAGCCTCAGTCGCAGCAGCAGCACCCTTTTTACTTCTTCGGACGTTCACCTGCTCAGCAACAATAACAGCAACAGCAACAGCCACAGCAATTTCAGCAACAGCAACAACAGCAACAGCCTCAACAGGGTATCATTTTTCAACCACTAAATTTACTTAACAGCACACAGATCAAGACCACTAAACCTTTGAACGGAGTTGATTTTTACTCCTGGAGCTTCGAATTTGAGCTTCTGGCGCAGTCTGCCGGGCTATGGCCATTCTTCACCGGCGAGTTTACATATCCTGTTAAGGGAACACAACTGGAGCAGCAGAGTTTCTTGCACGCCTCTCTTGGGGCGTATACGGTTCTTGTTCGGAACTTATCCCCGAAAGAGCAGCTCGACGTCCGATCTTTTCATTCCAGCTTTACGCCAGCTGAAACTGCATGGAACCACTTAAGGGGGGTATACATGGCAAAAGATACAATAACAATGAGTAAAATTCTTTCGCAGCTGACAAACGTGCAGATGATGACAAATAAGAATGTCATGGATTACGTCAATCGCGCCCGTACACTACGCGATCAACTGGAGAAGAGTGGGGGATACTTCTACCGTGAGATGTATCTCACGGTCCTTCTTGCTGGCCTTGGACCCGAATAGCGACAGACGCGCGCCTTCCAGCGCATGAATCCGAACCTCTCTGAAGCCGAGATTTCATCGTATCTCCAAACAGAACAGCAAGATCTTGACCTGCAGTCACAACGCAGAAGAGAGGGATACATTTAAGATTTTACTCAAATCCAGAACCGCAGCAACAACGACTCCCCCCGAAATATCCTTTCTGTCATTTCTGCTAGAATCCAGGACACACTTACCAGACTTGTCGCAGTCGACATCAAAATCGTCGCAACACTTCACAGCCGTATCACCGTTCGCAGCAGTTACCGAAGACACATCAGCCCACGCAGCAGTCGACGTCCCAGACGCAGCAGATGCCGAAACCGCCACAGAATCCACCACCATCACAACATCGCCCTCCGGTCTTTGCGTCTGCAACATCAGGAAAAGGGGTCTTTGGATGTGTTACAACAGTTGATGTTTCAGAAAGATATTTCGAGACACGACTTGAAGAAACCACAAGTGCTGAAGGCATTGCCTTACCGCAAGTTTACGCTAACCTTGCTCGAGTCATTTCAGGTCCAAATACTTGGTATCTCGACAGCTGTTGCGGTTGGCACATGTGCTCCGCTGAAACAAGCTTCATCACCAACCAGCGTCCACTTCAACGTCCAATACCTGTCACAGTCGCAAACGGACAAACCATTGTGGCACGTTCTATTGGGAGTGTAATGCTCGAATCAGTCGACACGGGATATTCTTTACACGTTACCAATGTTCTTATCGTCTCTGGTCTTGGCTTCAATCTTCTCTCCACGGCTCAGCTCCTGGCACACAAGATCCGCACACAGGGCAATTGTGAAACGATGGATCATGAGTTATGGCACAGCTTAACAAATACTTACCTTGGTCGTGCCGCTACTCAACGTGGCGTGTTAGTCCTTCAGTTCACGGCACAAGGAACTTCGGGCGATTCTGAACGCGTCCTTGCAGTTGGTCCCTGGGATCACCCAGAAGAAACTGATTATCAACACGTGGATATTGATTTTTGAGCAACTACTGTACCAACAGCTTCTCGAACTGCAGCAGCCGTTCTTACCGCACTAGATACTTGGGAGTTCAATACCGCCAATGAAGGTGCCAATGCTTGGCGAACGTTTTATAACACCCGCGCGGCCTTCCAAGGAACTCCAGCTCCACTTTGGGGCGAAATTAGCAGACTTGCCGCTGATGAGCCCGCAGTCGCCGAAGAAGCCGTGAAAGCAGAAGTCGCCGAGCAGCTAAGTCCCACAGTAGCTGTCGCAGGACTGCCTGCCACCACATCAACCGAAGTAGAATCAGATGTTGCAATTGCAACCATAGCAGAACCATCAACAATCAAGTTACCACTTACACGTTTCGTTGAAGGGGAGCTCGACATGTCTCCCGCGCTTTCTCCCTTTATAATTTCTTCGTTTTATACTAACGCCGATTTCTACCTGCAATCATCAGGACACAAAGCCACCGAAGACATCTGGCATCAGCGGTTAGGACATCCATCACAAGGGATTCTTAATCGCTCAATCCGAGCAGCAGTTCTTGATAAAAATAGTCTTCTCTTACCTGACGGCACGGAGATGAAGCCACATTCTCGCCCGACGGTTTGCACCACGTGTCCAGTCGCCAATCTTACCCGCGACCCGTTTCCAAGTCATTTTCCTGGCTCCACATGTTATAAACTGATGCAGAAAGTCTACAGCGATATTCTTAACTTACCTGAAGCAGGACCTAAAGAAGAGCAGTACGTGATAACCTTCATCGAAGCATCTACTCGCTACGTTTGGACAGCAAACCTGCCTGCTCGTTATCTCGCTCATTCCGTCTTCGTCGCATGGCTCGCTGTCGCTGAACGAGAGTCTGGCATGAAACTGCAAGAATTCCAGAGTGATGGCGCAGAGGAATACACAAGCATCACCTTCACGGACTACCTCCAGACACTCGACATCAAACGGAAGCAGTCACTGCCGCATGCACACCAACAGATGGGGGTAGCGGAAAGGATGAACCGAACTCTGCAGGAGAAGATGCGTGCTCTGCTGACGCAGGCAGCCCTTCCTCCTCGCTTTTGGCCGTATGCGATGGACCACGCAGTATTGTTACACAACCTGCTTTCTTCCACGTCATTGCCCGAGTTTTCTTCTCTGCACCTGCAGTGGACAAGAACAGTGGGAAGTACCAAACTTTTACAAGTTTTTGGGTGTGTCATGCAGTGTCGTCCTCCAACTGCAGCACTCGGCAAATTTTCAGACCGAGCAAAATGGGGGGTACACCTCGGCATCGAAAAACAGTATCACGCCTGGAAGATTTTGGATCTACGTTCCTTGCCAAATCGTCCCTTCACGCGATTGTCATTTCTATGAAAGACTCACCTTGTCCGTTTTTCGTGCCCACCAGGCAGCAGCTGCAAACCCCGCCAGGCTGTTCGAAGGCTCGCGTGCATTTGCAACTGACGAAGCCGAAGCTGATGTACATGACGAAGCAATTTCTGAAGCCTCCGAAGCT